AACAATTTAGGTTTTAATTTTAATGCACTTACTTGTGAATCATGTAAAGTAATGTTCAGAAGAAATGCATTTAATTTTGAGGTAAACTCTAATAAAATTTAATTATAACATAAAGTAATAAATATGTTTGCAATAGAAATTGAAATGTCATTTTCGGGGAAACTGTAGGATAGATGTGAAGAACCGGAAGTACTGCAAGAGGTGTCGTTTGGCTAAATGTTTTGCCGCAGGAATGAAAAGAGTAATATTTATAATAATAATAATATTTTTATTATATTTTACTATTAATTAAATTCATTAACAATTTATTGCTTGAATTGAAGGACAATATACTGACTGATGAGGAGAAACAGAAAAGGATTCATAAAATTGAGGAAAATCGACAAAAACGTCAGAAACGGAAGGAAGAGATCGAGGCTCTGAAAGCGTCACTCGATTCCTGTGCCGACACGACCACCACATCCATGGAAGTGATGAAGAAGATTGAGATAATGTCTACCGATTACGAGCGCCTGAAAGCCCGTCTCTTGGAGCTGGAGTCCTATGCGATGATTAAGCGCTGGAACGACATCTCGTATGATGTCTACCAGAAGGTAGTGGAACTGGAGTTCACAGCCATCCCTATCGCGCGACCACTTCACGAACGGCTCATGCATTTCAATGAACTCGAATTCAATCGCTTCAAAGAGGTGTTGGAGGCGACAAAACTGATGGCCGTAACGCCGGCGCCCATCACCATCCAGTGCCAGATGAATGTGATCCATGAGTTCAATGAGGGCTTCCAATGCGCCCGAAATATAAGCAGAATAATGGCTATATTTGTGGAGCGGATCACTAAGTGTATTGTGAAGATGTCTAAGAATTTGGAGGCATTTAATAGCATTTGCGAGAATGACCAAATTATCCTGATCAAATACGCCTCGTTTGAGATTTGTGTGATCCGTGCTATTCTTTGCTTCAACTTTGAGCACCAGTATTGGAATCTGATCATGGTATTTGATATGAAATATTTGTTTTGATTATAAAAATGTGATGAATGAACACAAAGTGTTTGTATGGCTAAGGATGACGAGCGCTCTGTTGTAATGAAATTGGATTTATTGAAGAAAGACAAACGAAATATTCACGAAAACCATAAAAATATTTTGGATAAAATGGGCAAAGAATGGGAATCAGACACCAACTTAATTGATTTGGTATGTTTATAGATTGTCATGGTCATAACAATAGTATTAATTCTAATGTATATTATATGTTATAGCTGACAGCAATCATACTATTTAACCCTGATCGTCCAGAACTAATTCATTGCGAACTTATCAGGTAATAGAAAATCTATTGTACGGTGCGATACAAATGGTTAATTAACTCAATAAGAAATGTTGACAACAGGTTACAGCAACACATTTACATTCATTTGCTTCAAAGATATTTATTGATTAAAATGGGTTCAGATTGCGAGGCAAAGACAAAGTTCTTGAGAATAATGAGCTGTTTATCGGAATTACATATTTTGAAGGAGAAGATGACCAGCAATTGGTTGGACGACCGGACGAAGTGTATGCCTCTTATGAATGAAATTTGCAACAAAACCAATGTTATTGTCACTACTGTTGGCTAATTGATTAAAATAAAGATTATTTTATTTATTTTACATTATTCTCAAATTTATTAAATGCAATTATGTTTATTTAATTTGAAAATTATTGTATAATTATCGAAAATGAAATATAATTTATAATAGATTTTAATGTACTGTACAGTAAATAAAACACCCACATATCTAATGTTAATTCAATTCTAAATCTATTGTACACTGTGTAATTCTATATAAATTAAAATATTTTAACTTTTATTTAAATATATCTTTATTTTTATAATGAATAATGAATTATATAATTAGTATTAATTATCTATGAATTTTAATTGAATTTATTAGGTTTAATTCAACTTCATATACCTTTATACATGTCAGATAATTAGTTCAGCAATTGAGATACTGTAGTCTACTACAGGAGTCCTACTTCCCAATAATACTCTTTATCTTACTGTAGATAACTCTCAATGTCATTGAAAGTGTATTCTAGGATATTGTGGTATTATATAAATAATAATAATATACAATATATAAAGTACTGTATATTTTCAATGTCACCATTAAAATTGTTTTCATTGATTTAATAAACTTAATGTTTACGTCCGACATTTTTATTTGGTTTACAAAATATATTATAATTGTTTTCAAATTAATTTTAAACTAATAATAATCTAAATATGAGTTCCGAAGAGTTTATAAAGAAATGTATGATTTGTGGCGATAGAGCTTATGGTATAGTAGATAAACAATATTTGTACTGTATACAAATTTAAGTTTTTATAATTATGTTACATTAGGTTATAATTTCAATGCATTAACGTGTGAATCATGTAAAGTTATGTTCAGAAGGAATGCTCACAATTACGAGGTATTTGTAAATTATTTTAATTTTATAAACAGGATACTTTTAATATTTTACTATAAATTTTGTTTAAATATAACAGAAATATAGGTGTAGTTTCAGAGGCAACTGTCGTATCGATAAAAAGAGCAGAAAATTATGCAAAAAGTGTCGTTTGAATAAATGTTTTGCCGTCGGAATGAAAAAAGTTAGTCATTTATATTATATTACATTACATTACATAACATTATAAACAATTTATTTTGTAAACAATTTTTATTGAAACTCATTAATTGTCTCAAAAAGGAGAGTATAATGAGTAGCGAACAGAAACAGAGAAGACTTCATAAAATAGAGTCAAATCGTATGAAGAAAGGATTGATGCCATCCTCAACCACGACAGTCGAGTCCACAACCAGTGATACTCAGAGCTCAACCAATACATCAAAGTCAGTGTCAGTTCTTAAGAAATTTGATCACTTGGAGAGTGATTACGAGAAAATAAAGGCTCGACTCATGGAGTTAGAGATTATTGTCAAGAATAGTCATCCCATTAATAGTCAAAATAGTAACATAAATATGAACACAAATTACAATAATTTAAATGAATACCAAAGGGAACACCAATCTGTATATCAGAAGGCACTGGAACTTGAATTCTCATTCATACCGATAGGCCGTCCACTTCATGAACAGGACTCGGGTTTTAGTGATATAGAGTTGAGTCGATTGAGGGATGTGTTGAACGCGACAAATGTGATGCAAAGCAACCAAATGAACACAATTACGATTGAGTGTCAAAATGAACTCATTATGGACTTCAATAACGGCAGACAGTGTTCGCTGAATACCACCAAAATTC